CCTGGTGAGGAGAGAGAGCAACAGAGATGCTCATAACAGTGGCATTTTTCTCCCCACGCTCAGCATTGCTGCCTCAGGACTGGTGGCAGTGGCATTTGTGCACACAGGTGCTGAGAGGTTTTTTGGTGGGGGGAGGGATGAAGACCCTCCCATCCTCTTTTGGTAAGTTTTTTATTATTATTATTCTGCAAACCTGGACGTTCCCCCAGGTTTGTAGAAAAACCTCTGCCCTCTCCATCTGGCCCTGATCTGTATATTTATCTGCAGATCACGTTACAGTTGGCTGTTTTAGTATAAACAATGATGAAATAGTTGGAGATTTTGTTCTGCAAATGTCTACTTGATCTTGGATCCTAAGCCTTGCTTCCTCTCGTACTGCACCCTTTTCTGTTGCAGGGGTGGGCCTCCTCTGTGAAGCTTGTTCCTCCAGGGCTAGGAACTTCCACTCAAGTAAGACCAGTGTTTTTCAAAGAGCCAAAAAGATCATGCCACCAGTAGAAAACACTGCACAGTTTGCACAGTTTAAGGTCTGCCAGTACTATGATTGAAGAGGGGTGCAGATGGAAACCAGTTTTAGCATCCAAGCTTAAAACAGCCTTCAGGGACTCTTTGAAACCTATCTAGTAAGGATATTAATTCAGGGTACACACCTAAAAAAATAAATTTACTGTAAGTTCTGGCTAGAATCCAGGGAATCATAAAAATAATTCCTTGCAGCTAAGAGTTCTTTAGACTTGTTTTGCTTAAATAGTGTGGCAGACTGCTTTTTTTGGTGGGGTTTTTTTTTTTTTTGCATTTTTATGTGTGTGAGAGTGTGCTCGTGTGTGCACCTGGAAGTCCTGGTGACTGACCCCTACTGGGGGCATAGAGAATATTCAGAGCGGGGGCTGAATAAAGCCTGCCTCCGCCTCCCAAACTGCTCGTATTCCAAGGAGGTCTTCCATCCAAGTACTTGCCAGAGTCAGCCCTGCTTAGCTCCCGAGATCTAACGAGATCAGGCTAGCCTGGGCTATCCAGGTCAGGGCTAGCAGACGGCTTTTGAAATTTAGAATCAGTTCATGATAATGCTTGGTGGTCTGCTATTAAAGTTTTTAAAGGCTCTGCAGAGGTCCCCTTGCATGTTGAAAATGTAGCTCTTTGAATGCCAGCCTTTATTTATTGAATAAATATGATTTCCAGAGTTTTTTACATTTTGTTTTGCAATGTGATCATTGCGTCAATCCTTCTTCAAGCTGCTGCTTACCTTAAGAGAATCTGTGCTTCTGGTGTTAAGCTGAAAGGTGCTCCCTCTGGTTTCCCCTGCAGCAGGACATGCAAGTTTTAAGGGGCGTGGAACATCTGTAGCTTCTCACTGAGAGTGTGCTGTATGATGGAGGATGTCAACTTAAACGTGAAGTGGAGGAACAAGTGACTGACATCCACTTTTACAATTTGTTGTGATACTGAAAGCCTGAACATAACTCACTTTCCCTGCAGCCGCGTATCCAGTAGACAGTATGTGGGGGCCCAATTTAGCTTGGGCCTCCAGCCTTCTGTACTGTGCCATTTCCCCAAACCATGGAATACTGCACAGGCAGCTCCAGAATAAAACAGAAACTCCCCCCAGGCCATTTTGGTTCAGGAAAATGTTGCAGAGGGGGTCCCTCCTCCCCCATACTGTAGGCCCAAGCTGAATCAGGCGCTGTGTAAGCCTTTACAATGCCGTTCTCTGCAACTGCTTCGTAGATGTGGGTTTTGGGTTGGGTTTCGGCTCGTTAGACAATATAACATGCACTTTGGCCAGTATTTGGATAGATTTGGTAGAAAAATATAACTATGTGGATTTATTTTACATAGAAGTGTTAAATTGTCATTTTCAGTCTGTTAGAGGAAAATCACACTAAATATTGTTTTGAGGGTTTTAATTTGCAGACAGTGACTTTAGAAATGTTGAAATCTGAACTACTTTGATAAATGTTCGGACTTAGAATTCTGAACCTACAATATGACATAATTTGGCCAGATTTCACTGTCCATCCTTTATATGGTTTTAAATGAGGTTTTTGTTTACATGTATTTATAAACTGGGTAGTACCTGACTGCTTCCTAAGCCAGACTGTGGGCTGTTTACATTTGTGTCAGGTGGAAAACGCTCTTTAATGGCATTGTGACTTCTGCTCTGTCAGCTTCAGCTATCTTTTGTTTGCTGGAGAAGTAGCAGTCCATCAGCATTTTTGAAATACAGGGTTTTGTGTTCTCTTATTTATGATCGAGAGCTCTAGAAGTTCAGCCATGAGGTAATATAAGGAAATATTAATTAATGCATAGACTTTTCATATTTGGGCTGTTTAAGCATTCTTGTTCTTCATTATATACTTGACTCACTAACTGTAAATACTGCTGAGAAAGGTTTGATAGGATACATTACAGAATACTTCTTGTGCTTGGAATACATTCCTATCTGCTTTTCAGGCAATATACAGGTGGATTTTGGTACTCATACTGAGTTTTCTTTCCAGAATACTTAAAGCTTGATTTTCTTTTGAAAACTATGAAACATAACACTACTAGGATACCTGCAGTATAAAAGTATCTGATCCAGATTTCTGTGCTCCTACAATGGGTGCAGTCAGACGGCGTGCCGGGAGCAGTTTAAATTGCTCCGGTCCTGATGCGTTTCTTTTTAACCTGGAGAATCGTGATCACACTCACTTCCTTGTTCCGGATTGCTGCGCAGCCACATCGCTCCCTGCTGTGCATCGGTGTGCATCGGTGGTTCCCCCCCCCTTCTCTCAATTTGGGCATGCGCACAGGCGGCCATCTGTAGAATTCCACTTCAACCCAACTGCGGTAACACTTCCCTTTAAACTTTGACCCCAAAACAGGCCTCCGTGCAGCACCATAGCTAGGGATTTTGGGGGGAGGGGGGCGGGGGGCCGGCAGCTAACCCAGCCCAGGGCCTCTCGCGATCTGCGCTGGACAAAGGCACAAGCACCGGATCACGTCCTCCTTGTGTCTCCTCTCCTCTTCCAAGCCCGACCTCCAGGTCACTTGGCTGCGGTGCATGTGTATGCAGGGAAGTTGGGGGAAATGTTCTGCATGCTCTCTTTCTCTCACACACGCACATTGGGGAGGGGGCACATCCGGACAGGCATGTGCGGCGGCTCCCTAACAAAGGCAATCGAGGGATTATTCCCAAAGCCCCACAAGGACTCCCCGGCAGCTGGTGCACCCACCTGTTCAACTCCCTCCCGGCTTTCCCCAGAGGGATCATTGTTTCATAAGTGCCCGGCTGTCTGAGCGCGTAAGGAGCTGGAAGGCTGGGCTCCATTGTCAGGGTGGGAGGGAGTGTGACGGGGAGCTAGGGGGCTAGGGTTTGGGGGAGGGCGACTCAGGCCCCCCTCTCCGGGTCTTGCAGAAATGCCTCCCAGGCAGGAAATGCTCCGACTGCAGCAAGAGGCGCAGAGCGGCGCGCTTCCCTCGAGCTTGTTTCACATTTGGGTGTGTGAACGTGGATATAAAATCCATTACTGAAGCATGCCGAAAGCGGACTAAACGGCCCGTCTGAATGCACCCACAGGGTGTCTGTTGTGGGGAGTGGGAGGGGAAGGCAATTGCAAGCCACTCGGAGACTCCTTCGGGTAGTGAAGGGCGGGGTATAAATCCAATCTCCTCCTCCTCCTCGTCTTCCTGCTAAGCAGATGCTCTAACACTGAACCATGGACCATCCCTATCTTCAACAGCATTGTAACAGAGAGTGGAATTTCTTTTAAAAATATATATTGATTTCCATAAAAAACTTCATGCATCACATATCATAACATTCAGTGCCCACTCAGCAGCCCTCCCCTCTAACCTCCGGGCAGCAGCAGGCAGCATAGCGTCACCAGCTGCTGGGCTGAGGGTAGCGACGGTGGGGGGGGGGAGCCAAGGATGGGGAAGGGTCATAGAAACTGCGGGCCTGCCTCCCTATTACATTATTGACTGCACACAGGAAAAAAAATTGATAACTGCTATTGACAGATTGTTTAGTAATGAGATGTTGAATATTCCAATCAATTGTCCAAAACCCAATACAGCATCTGCTCCTTGATGCTAACAGATGAATAATGCCTATTCTGGTAGTTAACAAAAGAAAACCTGATTTCCACATTTTTTTCACTTGACCGAGCTTTCTTGGTTCACAAGCAGGGACGGTCTTACCCAATGGTCCACGGGGACAGCTGCTCTGGTCCCCATACCTGGGGGGGGACCTATTTAGTATCCCCAATTCTCCATGTTTCCTGTTCACCACTTGGGGACCTGGTAACAAAATACTCCGTTTTAAAGAGGGTTTGAGCCGGAAAGCGACAGCTGGGGACAGTGCACAGATGTTGGGTGTGTGAACATGGATATAAAATCCGTTACTGAAGTGTGCCAAAAGCGGACTAAACGGCCCGTCTGAACGCACCCAATATGTACTAAAAGTACCCATTAAACAATGCCAATACCACAGCCACACAACCCAGAAAATCTACAGCAACTAGACATTGGATTGTTTACTTAAAGGTTAAGGCCAACATAAAGATGAATATTTTTTCTACATACTGTTGTCAAATATCTTTTTCTAACGTGAGGACCAATTGTGATCAGTGCAATAATTACATGCATATAGAAAATTCAGCCACTTTTCAGTTTTGTTCATCAAATAACTTGTAGTTTCTGGTGCTAGCTGTTATCCTAAAACAAAATGCTACATTTTGTGTAATCAACCTAATTGGGAGCTTAATGCTTCATTTATTTTATCAAATAGCGATGCATGTTTAATTAGTAAAGGTTTTGTAAAAGGTTTGATTCTAGGTAAAAGTATCAAGAGTTATTTGTTGAAAAATTAGGGGTTCTTGGTATAAATTGGTGGGCACTTTTTTTTGTAGTTCAGAAGACTTCAGGTTCAGCTCTGAAAAAGTTGTTTTGGTGTTCCCATGTTCTTGTTCACTGTTGTAAGCATTGGTTTACTGCATCTATTGTATTTTTACTTGCAGGTGAAGAAAGAATTTTAGAAAAAAGACACATTTGCCATCATGCCATTTCCCTTCGGCAAATCGCACAAGTCTCCTGCAGACATAGTGAAGAATCTGAAAGAGAGCATGGCAGTCCTAGAAAAACAAGATATTTCCGACAAGAAGGTAGAAAAGGTATACATCACATTTGTTTTTGGAGTGTGTGGGTGTGTGTGAATATTTTGTTAAAAGCTGGACACTTCAGAGGTGAGCGGGAAGAGCAGTATGCAGGAATTCTGAATTTTTGTGCAGATGCACAAAACATGTTCTCTCCTAGTAGTTAGACTTCTAGTCAGCTATATCTTTTTTTTTGTGCGGTATTTTATTAATATATGCATGTGTGTGAGTGTGTGTGTGCACCTGGAAACCATGGCAACCTTTGGTGACTAACCCCTACTGGGGGCCTGTGGGATATTCAGAGAGATGGCTGAATAAAGCCTGCCCCCGCCTCCCAACTGCAGGTATTTCAAGGAAGTCTCCCATTCAAGTACTTGTCAGAGTCAATGCTGCTTAGCTTCCAAGATCTGACAAGTTCGGGCTTGCCTGGGCTATCCAGGTCAGGGCTAGTCAGCTATATATTGACAACTGATTCATTAATTCCCTCCCCCACAAAAGGCTATTTAGACATGGACTCATACCTTATTGCTTCCAACCACAGTAACTTAGGGCCAAGTCATAATATTGAATTGATTGAGACTTCATGTCCGACTAAAAACCAGTCACATCCCAGAGATATAGATTGGGGCAGTGGAACTGGAGAAGGGGGGCTGATTTCCCCCACACCATTTTCCTGATTGAAAATCAACAACACCCCCCCCCCTCTTTAAGCCGTGGTGGGAGGCAAGGATGTGTACTTCCTCCTCAGCCTTCAAGTCCTCCACCAGAACTTACTTTCATGCATGTAAGTATTTCTTTTTTACACCGTTTTTTGAGGTAGAGCCCCCAAATTTGCATTTTTTTGCACTTATATTGCCACCTGATTCTTCTTTACCCTGGACAAGCTACTTACTTATCACTGAGTCTTTCACCAGTTCTTGCTGGTTAATCTGATGTAAATCGTGAGCATCATGCTTTTTGTTCTAAGTAAAATGCTGATAGTACGATAATAGCAGTGCACAGCAGAGATCCTGTTGTATACAATTATATACTTCACAGTCCTGTTAACTCTCTGATGATTTGTACCTGAGTTTAGATATCTATTTGCATAGGTGCAGAATAGTAGCTGCTCTCTAATATTTAATTAAACTTACCAATCAGACAGAATATCGTTACCTGGCAACCTGGCTGCAGCTTCTCCTAGAAATTTCTGCTGCTAATTCTTTCAGTGGTCATTTAATGCCATTGTCATGATGAGAAGTTACCGCTTTGAGTTCAAATGGCATGTATTATAACCTGCTTGAATATTAAAAAGTCATTGAACACTACCCAGAACAGCTACACAAATTACTCTGAAGCAGTAGTTTGCCAATGTGTATATTCTGCTGTCCCTGTAGTCTTTCTGATGTGAAGCAGAAATTAGCTGCAGCATAGTTGGAGGAGCTAAGATTTTTCTTGATAACTTGTTCTCCTCAGCAACTGAAGTTCATATGAAGGACAGGGGGGGGGAAGAGAAATCTTACCCGGTTTCTTAGTCAGGCTTCTTATCACCTCCCCACCAATCCCTGGATTGCTGTTTCCCTGGAAGCAAAGCATTCCCCCAGTGGTTTTAATGCCAATTCCAAACAGTGTTTGTGTGTTTTTAAAGGGTAATTCACTTTGTAAAAAAAGAAAATAAGTTATTTTGGGAATAAATCACTGCCTCTACTCTTCCTTCTGAAATCTGTTCCCTGGTTCCTGCACTCTTACTTTTAGTTAGCATAGTGGCTTAAGAATGGAAGATCATGCTTATTATAACTTCAGCACTCTCTTATAAGAAAGCTATTTTTAAGCAGGCTAGAAATAACCAGTATTTTCATGTTCTGTGGGGGAAAAAAAATTGTACTTCAAGAAGATCGCCAAATTGTTGGTCAACTTTAAATCCAGATAGCATCTTAATTCTGGTCCTCTCTCCCCACGCTGACCCTGCCATTTTGTGCCCCTGAGGAAGATTACAAATAGTTTTGAAACAGGTGTACATTCCTGAAATACTCTATGTTGGGAAGTTGAATTGTTTTGAAGTAATTGCAAAATCCAACAAGAGGTGCCCACAGTGTTGTGTGTCCTATTAGTAATAAACTAAGGCTCTTTGAAATGGAATTAGGCTTGCCTCCTGGACTGCTTTGGTCCTGTTATGGCAAAAGAGAGGAAGAGCCTGGCTGTTAATTATTTTGTTAATACTTCCTAAGGATGTGGAAAACTGGCTTAGAGTGTTAGGGCTTCATTCTTGTCCATCTTAGGTCTCTGTGCATAACAAAAGCGAACTGCGTATTTAGGTACAGTAGGTAATGAATATTTCTGTGAAGGCAAAGGTATTACTGACTGCCTTGAAGAAGGCGATTGTGAGAGTTCCCCTGGGGAAGTCTTCCCTGGACCCAAATAATTAGAGCTACTATTGAACAGTAGTAAATGTCCTCTTCTTGGGCAAGGTGCTTGACCTTTGTGACTGTGTGTTTTCCACACTTATTTAGTTTCCCCACTGCCAGTAAAGCACAGTGGCAGTAGTGCTTCCATGCGGCATGTTTCTTCTTCCCGCCAGTTTCCACTCAGCCATGCACAGTGCACTGGGACTTTTTCAGGTTTTTTGAATGGGCAGTTGAGTATCACTATAATGTTAACTGTATTTCAGGATCTGTGGATTCCCAGCTTTATTTTTAGTAAGTCCCTAGTGGTAGACACTTTTTAAAAAATGAAAGCTGGTAATTAAGAGAACCTGATACAAATTGTTATAATGCTGTAATGATATTCAGTTGCCAGTAAAAAAAAAGAAAGAAAACCGGGGGGAGTGGCCACAGCGGGGACAGAGTCAGTGCAAATAGCTGCTGTGTGAGTGGCTGGAAACATTTATTTTATTTATTTATTTATCAAATTTATGCCCTGCCCTCCCCGCCAAAGCAGGCTCCAAACTTCCCCTCCCACGTAGCAGCCATCCAGGATTTGCTGTGATCTTTCTCAAAACTTTGCAGCAAAGCAGGTTTGAGTAAAGCTGAGGAAACCCTGGGAAGTGAATGAATGTACCACAAAGCTACAGGGAAGTAGAAAATACACCCTCCTAACAGTAGTAATCCCAGGGAAAGTAACCCATATAGTAAGCTCCTGTTGTGTGGCCTGATTTTAGAATTGAAATGTCTTGACAATCTTCACTGATGTGTGTGACCTCATTGGTTTTCCTGGCCTGTTTGGTAGTTTTCAGTACCGTTGACCATGGTATCTTTTTTTAAAAAAATTCAAATATGAACTATTATAGACCATGGTATCTTTATGAATCAGTTCAATGAAATTGGTTTTGGGGGTCACAGTCTGGTTCTTATCTTATTTTATTAACTCCTATCAGAAGATGGTGATGAAGAACAGCTACCCAGTTTCTTGGTATTTATGCCACGGAGTCCCTCGAGTTCCATTTAGTCCTCCATACTGTTTCATATCTGTGTGAAACTGCTGTGAAATGTGATGCAGATACTTGGAGTGAAGTGCTGGCAGTGTTCTGATAACTTTTCTCCTTTTCAGCTGAGTCAGCAGTAGTGGACAGTGAACAAATGTATGGGAGGTAGTAATAGGCTGATCCAAGTCCCATTAGACTGAACTGAAAGAATTTTCTGCTTTTGTTTAATAATTTTTCCATTCTTTGACTGAGGAGTCAACCTGTTCTCAGTGGGTTTGTGCTCCTTCTGAAGGAACAGATTTATGTTCCTCTCAATTGAAAGTTCAAATCTTATCTGTAGCACCTGTGGGTAACTGGCTGATTTTCTGGCTGATGACCTTTCTTTGAGAGGCATGATTTGCCCACAGTTACCCATGTTCTTCTGATCATTCCAGCTGGGCTACTTATTTATTGATGGATTTACAGAATTTATATGCCACCTTTCTGCCCAGCCAGAGCTATCAAGGTGGCTAACAAAAGCAGAACATATAAAATTATCATAAAGCCAATTTAAAGTCAAAAGGAAAATACATAAAACCCACAGACCTATTAGTTAAAATAGGAAGGAGGGTCATGGAGCACCAGGTAGAACAAAAGTTGTTACCCACTGCCAGAAGGGAATAGATTAATATCATTGGGGAGCAAGTTCCACAGTTTTGGTGTCTTTTCTTGAGTTGCCACCTTAGAAGGTGGGGGGGGGGACTGTAAGGATGAGAGTAAGTCGTTCTTAAAGTATGCTTGTCCCAAATCAGCACCTTGAATTGATTATGGAGACAAATTGGAGCCAGTGTAGATTGACCAAAACTATAGTCACCAACAAAATTCTCTCTAAGTTACGCTAGGGGTGCTGGTGCACAACATTTTAGCTGGCAGTGCAGGGAACTTAGCTGGCAGCATAGCCTACTAGTGAACTGGGAAGGCATTTTCCCCACCATTGGAAACAATGGAGGATGGGGGCACCTCCTTTTGGGGCTCATAGAATTGGACACCCTTGTCCGATCTTTTTGAAACTTTAGGGGAGGTCTAAGGAGAGAGCTATGCTGCAAATTTGGGGGCTCTACCTCAAAAAACAGCCCTCACAGAACCCCAGATCCCCTGGATCAATTCTCCATTATAGTCTACTAGAGATAATGCCCGTGGCGGAAATAAATACAACGGGATCTAGAAAGAGGCTCTGGGAGAGTGCTCTGGCTTTGGGCAAACAGTCTCAGTTTCCTCTGGCGACCTCAGCAGGGTTTAATGACAGAGTCCACTGTTTTCTCCAGAGGGACTGATCTGTGCTACCTGAAGAGCATTTGTATGTTTGAGTTATCTGTAGCCCTCACCTGGAGAGTGGTAACAATTGTTACCCATTCTCCTCTCCCCTATGAGGTATGTTATGCAACTGAAAATTCCAACTGCCTTGCGGGGGGGGGAGTTTGAGGTGTGGAATGGACTGAAGTCCAATCAGCTTCCATATGCAAAAGACCAGGTTGTCGCAGCAGTTGTGCTGTGGGCGGGACCCGGACTTTGCTTTCTGATTGGTGGCGATATATGCTGAGGAGCAGTGCCATCAGCCATACACTAAGGGAGTGCATTT